CTGCGCCGCCCGCCCGGCCGCCCGCCTGCGCTCCGGAGTCGGCCCCGGGGACGCCGCGAAGGACCGCCTGGGAAGGAGGACTACGCCCCCCACAATGCACCGCGCCAGAGGCTGCTCACTTCCGGAGCGGGGGCGAGATTATTCCGGCAGCTTTCCAGGGCACCGTGACAGCCCACGCAGAACAGATTCTTACCCCCACCCGGCTTATCCCCGGCCGACTATAGAGGCGTATTCGGTTGGAACGCTGTCGCCTGGACCGCCCTTCACAAGGACCCGGAATCCTGATGGGAATCTGGCGGCGCGCGCCTCTGTAGTGCGCAAGCCCCTTGGGCGTTTGCTTACGGAAACTACAATCCCGCAGTGCCGTGCGCTGAATTCGGAGGCTGCGGCCTCGGGCGCCGCCTAAAGGAGAGGTGGGGTTACAGGGGACTAGGATTTGGGTGAGGTTGTGTGTCAGCCGGAAGCGCTTCCCTAATCCTGGGGGCTGTGAGTCGATGGCATTCCTGCGGGGACTGGGTCAGAACCTCAGCTTCAGTGCCCAGAAAGACCTCAGGAGCTCCTTTCTCTGCGTTGAGGACTCGCTTAATTCAGCCGTGGCTTGAGTTGACTCACCTAAACACAGTCACCAGTAGGTGCCTACTGTGTGGCCGGTACAGTGCAGTGAGTTGGGAACTTGCTGAAGGGGTTCGACCCACCAGTCCTGACTACCTTGAGGGATGAGGGTCCGACTTTTGGATAATAGATGTGAATGCACCCGAATGGATGTCTAATCACAGAAATAAATGCTACAGACTAATGAACAGGACAGAGGAGAAAATGGGAAGCGGAGGCCAAGGAAGAAAAAAATGAAAGCTTGAGTGAGGAGGGAGTAGCTGGTCCTCAGGAAAGAACTAGGCTACGCCCTTAAAGAGCCTGGAAGAAGACAGGCAGGGTAACTGAAGCGCTGAAAGATACCAAACTGGGCTAAGTTAAAGATTTGGGATTTAATTCTGCAGACGACTGGGAGCTGTTGAAGAGTGTTGAACCAGAGGATGGACAGAATTTGGATTGTAACAAGACACCTCCCCAATCCCCGACTTCTATGGAGAAAATGTTCTAAAGGGCAAGAGAGGTTTTAAAACCAGGGGAAGGCCTGGCAGTTGTTCCGGGGATTTACCTGCAAGCCCTCCTTTGCTGAGTTCCCCCTTTCTCCCATTTCTTGCCTTTCTTCACCCTTTCTCCAGACTCTCCCTTCACATTTTCCTCCTGATTACAGACCATGGGTATGAAATTGAAGCCTAGTATATACTATTTCTAATTATTTGACATAAAAACAAAAAAAGACCCGGCATTTAAAAGCTTGTGAAAGAAAAAATATAACACCCCAAGTTAACTGTTACTTTTTCTTTTTTTTAAGTGCTTTATTATAAAAGGAACCCATACTTAAGATGTTTTGGGAAAATACAGGACAATGGGAAGTGAACTATTTGTCTGATCCCAACATCCAAACATCACCATTGCATTTCCTATTTACAATTAATGTGCTCCATGGTTATTGGCATGGGCTTCACAGACCCATAACAGGAAAAAGTCCCATTCCTCCTGGCCTATGCAGCTGAGGTCCACAGCTTGAACCCCTTCAAACTCAGAAATGCAGTCCATGGTGAAAGAAGTGCATTCACTTGGGTGAATATACAATAGTTAAAACATGAATACACACTTTGTTATATGATTAAATGTTTATAAAATGTGTGCAGTAGGGACAAAATTAAGCAAAAGATCATTGTTATTTGTTATTTTGTATTTTCATTGTCATACTATTACTGATAGAGTTCTGTTCCTACCTGTCTCAAAATCTACCTTACAAAAAATATTAATGAGAGATCAAATTTATATCATTTCTTCATATACAGACAGTGAAGATTATGCTCAATAAAATTCTACCTTCCAGGGTGCCTGGGTGGCTCAGTTGGTTAAGCGTCTACCTTTAGCTCAGGTCAGGATCCCAGAGTGCCTGGATCGAGTCCCCCATCAGGCTCCCTGCTCAGTGGGGAGTCTGCTTCTCCCTCTGCCCTTCACCCCACTCATGCTCTCTTTATCTCAAATAAATAAGTAAAATCTTTAAAAAAAATTCTACCTTCCAGTACATAAAATCACCTCTAACCCCCACAACCCAGCCCACGCTCTATCTTGTCACCTTTGGAGAAAGGCTAGAACCTTGTCACATGCCTCCCTGCTTCCAATCTTGCCTCCTCTACAAAATCTGTTGTTTATATGGCTACCAAAATTATATATATATTTATGTGATTCCTCTGCTTAAATCCCTCCAATGGCCTATTGCATTTATAATGTCCAAACTCCTTTCCAGAGCCTGTGAGACACCACATGGTCTGGTCCTTGCCAGTCTCTCATTCCTCCCTCCCTCACTTCATGCACCCAGTATTTTTTTTTTTTTTAACAAGTAGCAAATAGAAAATTTTATCAGTTATGTAAAACACATAGGCACCTGATCTAGGAACAATAGAATAACTCCACAGGAGACTCAGAACTCAAGTTCTAATTAAGTTTCCATGAAAATTTAAGAAAGGTGGGGAGGCTATCTTGGTGAAAATATGGTAATAGAGTCTCTAGCATTATCAGAACTTTTGAGGGCCAAAATTCATCTCAAAATTGCACATGTTTGGAGATCATTTCTACTGGATCACAAACAGCAAACTAGCCTTTGGGTCTTCAAATTGGTCTCTTCTAAGGCAGAGTGGTGTTCACAAATGCAAATCTGACCAGGTCACATATAGGATAAAATTATTTTTTCCTGGCCCAAGTGTCTCTCCTCAACTCCAGAGGGAGATAGGAATAAGACATTCTAATAATAATGACTGCTATTTATTGAGGATGGGCTTACTATATGTCAGACACTGAGTTAAACATTATCTCATTGAGGGGCGCTGGCTGGCTCAGTCTATAGTGCAGAGGACTCTTGATCTCGGGGTGGTGAGTTCCAGTCCCACCTCGGGTGTAGAGATTACTTAAATAAACTTTAAATATATATATATTCCATTGAATCAGTACGAGCCCCTTATTAGGTGGGTATTATCCTCAACTTACAGAAACCAAGGCTTCGACTGGTTGCACACATTTGCCCAGGTGCACTCCCAGGTAAACGTGCCTCCAAGTCCGGAGCTTACAACGAACGACCACTACACGCACCACGCGCCTCTGAGCGGTAGGGTTAGAACTGCAACTCCCGTGAGGCTGTGCGGCAGCCTCGCGAGAGTTGGCTTAAATGCTGCGGCGGGAAGGCGGTAGCTTCAGCTACCTCAGCGGTTAGAAGCGGATGGCTGAGACGATGGCAGAGAGCTACAACCGTGAGAGCGAGCCTACGACTCGCACGCTGTTGCGGCGCGTGCTGGACACTGCGGATACGCGCACCCCGCGGCGACGCCGAAGTGCTAGAGTTAGGTAAGGGAGAGCGCTGCCCGAGCGTGTGAGCAACCATAGGGATTGGGGCGGGGGGAGGGGGGTCAGGCTTCAGCGGGATCCAGCGCTGACCCTGTTTGGAGAAGGAAACTGAGTCTCGGAGAGCCGCAGGGCCCCGGGTTCTGAGAACTGGGTCCACCCTTTACAGTTTGTGCCCCCACCCCCGGGACTCCAGGCTGCCAGGTCTCAGGACTACAAAGCTCAACTCTGCTGGCGTCTTTGGGTTTCTGCCTCTAGGCGCTCAGAATCTGGCCTTCTCTACTGTTCTCTGGGCCACACCTTCCCCCCACACCAGCCCAAAGTGTGTCCAGGCATCTGCCCTGAACTGCCTCCTCTGTGGTCCCCACTTTTCCCTGCACATTCAGTCCCCTTTCCCTGTAACTCCCAGCTGGAAGGTGGGAAAGGAGCTAGAGAGCACAGCCTGGGCAGAATTCGGGAGGCAGGAACTAGAAAGATGCTTTGCTAGGGAGCAGGGAATTTGGCCTGACCTGGTGGCAGTGGCAGTGGATGAGGGCTATGGTGAGCTCCTGGTGCAGAGGGTGTGGGAGTTGGCATCTGCCAGACTGGGGCAGTGCAGTTCTTTTATAGGCCCTGGGAAGCTATTCATTGTAGGTTTTAGACCTATAAGTGATGAGGTGGGAGCTGTGCTTTGGGAATCTGAGAGGGACTGGAACGGAGACCAGTGCTGGAGTGACCAATGTAGAAGTTGCTGTGAAACCCTGACAAGTACTTAAATGGTTTCAAAATATTTAAATATCCTTTTTGATTTGTTATATTAATGTCAGGAATGAATATTCTTCTAATTGCTCCTCTTGTCTGTGTGGCCTCTGCTTCTAACAGAGTCAGTTCTGTAAAGCCTTCCTCAGCCCCTCCCTCTGGCTGGATCATTATGGTCTCCCTTTCTTCCCATATCCCTTAGGTTCCCCTTCATCCACAGAGCTGTTGATATAGAGCTAGAAACAGAGGCTGTGGGAGGGGCTGGATCCCTGGCCTTGAGGGAAAAGGGCTTCAAGCCAATATCCCTGATGAAAGCACATCTCTGCATCCTCTAGTTCCCTCTCCCTACTTAATTCTTAGAGCTGTTGGTCTTTACGCAGTGCCCAGAAAGCCCTACTTGAAACACCTTCCTCCAGGAGGCTGAGCAGCCCAACAAAGATGAATGTGAGGCGGCGTTCCCATAGAGCCAGGGTAAGTGCCCAGCCCACTGACCACTACAGGGCTCTTGCTGCCTTCAGGGGCCTCTGAGGTCTAGCTCTGCTCTGGAGCCCACCTTGAGGGAATCTCAAGGCAAAGGAACAGAAAAATTGCTTGGTGCTTTTACCCAGTCTATTGGCAGATTGGCCCATGTTCATACCAGTGGGAACCTGGAGGAACAGACACCCCGGACTCTGCTGAAGAACATCCTTCTAACTGGTGAGTAAACACTAACTTGCTGATCAGGGTTAGACACCAGTCCCTTGGTATCCCTCACTCAGGGCAGACTGCCCTGCCATCCCTACCCTCTCTTTGCTGTCTCTGCAGCCCCAGAATCTTCCATCATGATGCCAGAGTCTGTGGTGAAGCCAGTGCCAACACCGCAAGTGGTCCAGTCCTCTAGACGGGAAAGCAGTCGGGGCAGGTGCACAGTGAATTCTTCCCTTTACTGGGATGTTGGGCAGCTCTGATCAGGAGTCTCTTGAGGGCCCCAGAAGCCAGTATTAGGCTTCCTGGCCTGTCTGAGATAAGTTTCATCCTTGTAGCCTGGAGCTGCAACTTCCTGAGCTTGAGCCCCCCACAACCCTGGCTCTAGGTCTTCTGGCTCCTGGCAGGAGGAAGCAGAGGCTAAGATTGTCAGTGTTTCAGCAAGGAATGGACCAGGGACTGCCTCTCTCCCAAGGTAAGACCCTGGACAATACCTTTGGCCACCCTCTCTTGCCCTCTAGAAAGGCTGAGGAGGCCTGAGAGAGGGCTCTCATGAGCCTGGTAACTTACCATAGTTTATTTTTAAATTCTCTTGCAGAGCCTCGTGGGAATGCCAGTGCCTCCTCCCTCACCAGGTACTGTTGCCTATCCTGGGGTTGGTGGAAAGGCTTGGAGAGGGAGGTATTGATTGTGATGGAATCTGGCCTACTGGTCCCTGCCAGTTTTAGCTTCATAGCATCATGGCTGAGTACTAAGAGATGAGAGCCCCAGGGCAGATGGGGGAATTCTCCTAAAAATTGGGCCTCAGATACCTGACTTTCCTTTGTGCCTCCTCCCTCCCACCAGCTCCCTCAATTTGACCTTTGCCACACCTCTCCAGCCCCAATCAGTGCAGAGGCCTGGTTTGGCTCGCAGACCTCCTACCCGCCGAGCTGTAGATGTGGGTGCATTTTTGCAGGATCTGCGAGATACTTCTTTGGCCTTGGCTTCTCCAGGTAAGGTTGAGATTTCCCTCTCCCTCCCCTTTAGGAGGTGCTGCTGAGTCCAGGATTACTCCTCTCTCTGTCAAGTCAAGCACAGTGAGCAAGCTTGCCAGTAGGTCTATGAGGAGTTTCTGCTTTCTTTCTCCAAAGTGCTGCTCCCAGTATCTTCTAGGATCCCATATTCTTGAGAAGCTACAGAGCTGAGGGTAGGAAAGGTGTGGTGTGGTAGCTGGAGCTTCTTGGGAGATAGATAAGGGTCAGGTTTCAGGATCAGCTGGCCAGTCAGAACTGACCAGGCAGCGTGATTTCAGAAAACAAGTCAAGTTCACTAGAGTAAGAGGAGGGTTCTTAGCAGAGTGAAAAGTGTGGAGGCATAGGTGAGCAGTTTTGGTGGGACAAGATGTGGAGAGTGTGAATGCCAGGCTAAGAAGCAGGAAGGTAAGCAAAGAGACCTGTGGAAGGAGGATAAGGCTTAGAGTACTAGGTAGTTTTTTCTGAAGGCCACTTGGGGCAGACTCATGGGACCCACTGCCCAGGCCCTGGTGAGTGGGTAGCGGCAGGTAGGCCTGGAAAACAGAGTGTCAACTGGCCTTTCATTTCCAGGTGATAGCCTCAGAACCCCTGTTGCCACCCTACAAATGGATACCGTGTTGGAGGACACTCAGCCCTTCTCCCAGCCCTTGGTTGGCCGTTCCCCCAGTGTGTACCACTCCCTGCCCTGCACTGAAGCTGAAGATGCTGAGAGGGCTGTCAGTCACAGGACACAGAGCAGTGGGCCTAGGCTGCAGAACCACAGTGAGTATGTGGGGCATGTGGCCAAGAGCTAAGCCTTGGATGAAAATTGGCATTTGTGCTTTTCCCTCCTCAGGCCTATATGTGTGCTCTGCAGAGTCCCTTCGTTGTTAATTCCTCTTATATGTCAGAGCAGAGTCGGTTTTGGACCAGGATACTCCACAAACAAGTACCCTGTGTCTGCCTCTGGACATTTCTCCTCAGTGACCTAGACCAGGTTTACTACTCTAGCTTTATCCTTCTCAGAGCTACAGCCTTGCCCTACTGCTTCTCTAACCTATATTTTCTCCCTTGATTCAGATCCTAGAAAACCAGCCCAACTTCTAGCAGCAAAGGCAAAGAAGGTTGATGCCCTTGCTGTGAGCTTCCCAAACAACAGCAGTGCTATTTCTGGAGAAGATGGAGTAGAGCCCTTACAGGATGGAGTTGGTGAGGAGGCAGAGGAAAGGATGGAGGAAGGTCTGAGTGTGAGCAAAGTGATGGACACAACAGGAACACAAGGATCTGTCAGGACAGAAAAGTCTAAGGGATACAGAGAAATGACAGAAGCTGTTGAGGCCAAGGAGCCAGAAGGATCTTCAGGAGATGAGGACATCTCTGGTAGGACAGGTAAGGGGCCCAATGCAGGGATGAGGGAGTGAGTGGGTGACAACTGTGTTCAGTCTCTAATCTGAGGAGTTGTACCCCTAGGTTGTGTTTCTGGGTACAAGTGGTGTTGGGTCAGGGAGACTCTGAGGGGCCCATTGCTTGACTGGCCAGAGCTAGGTGGGGCCCTTGAGGAACAGGAAAAGGAAGCTGTGGGCCTTGACGGTTGGGTGAGATAGTCAAGCCTGAGCCCCCTCTAATCCTGCCCTTTCTCTACAGCAAGTACGGAGTTGGCCTCCAGCACCACTGAGTTTCTTCAGGCCAGGCGACCTCAGTTTCTTGAGCCAGCCCCACCGCCTAGCACTGCAGTGTAAGATCCCATGACCTTGTTCTGCATGGACCTCTTGGGAAGGGGGTAGGCTTCTGAGCTTGGCATTGAGCATCAAAGGGTTATCCCCCTTCCCGTTGGTATGCAGATGATCACTCAAGAGAGCACCCTGAGGTGGGCTAGGTGGGGCTCACTGAGTACATGTGTCATCTTGGTGCATGCTTCCAGGTTCTTAGAGGAACCTGGGTAGAGGGAAGTGGCTAAGTCAGTATGTAGTCAGAGAAGGCTTCCTGGAGGATGATTAGCAGAATCAGGTAGGCAGCAACAGACTGAGGGTCTAGGGCCTGAGGGTCTAGGGGCCTGAGGGTCTAGGGCCTGAGCAAGTACTAGCTTGTGTAATGAGTCTAGACTAGGACTTTGGGTCAGGGCCCCAGGGAAAGACCAGGCCTCTGTGTGGCCCCCTGTCCACACTGCCTCCCAGCAGACAGAGCTATTGGTCCACATTAGCCAAGGAGCACATGGGCCCTAGTCTTCGCAGGAGCCAATAAGACTTGTTTTTGATTAGGAGCCTCTTTGGGCAGCATTTTAGCTAACTATCCACTCCTGCCCCTAGCTTATCTTCAGAGCCTCTGGAGCCTCTATCGACCAGGCTTCCTCCCAGGGCCCGAACCCCTGGCCCCAGGCCCCGTCAAGATCCCCACAAGACTGGATTGAGCCACTATGTGAAACTCTTTAGCTTCTATTCCAAGATGCCCATGGAGAAAGCAGCTCTTGAGATGGTGGAGAAGTGGTGAGTTCTGGACACTCAGGGTAGGGAGAGGACCCCTCAGATCATCAATAGACCGTTCAGTCTGTTCTACCGCAACCCTTTTGGCAGCCTGGACAAGTATTTCCAGCATCTTTGTGACGACCTGGAGGTATTTGCTGCTCATGCCGGCCGCAAGACTGTGAGGCCGGAGGACCTGGAACTACTGATGCGAAGGTAAGTGGGCAGAAGCAGGGAGGCGCTGAGTGTGGGAGTGTTGGCCCTGATTCTATCTCTATCCTCCTCTGCTACAGGCAGGGCCTGGTCAACGACCAAGTCTCACTGCATGTGCTTGTGGAGCGGCACCTGCCCCTGGAGTACCGGCAGCTGCTCATCCCTTGTGCATTCAGTGGCAACTCTGTCTTCCCTGCCCAGTAGTGGCCAGGCCTCAACACCTGCCCAGTCCCCACCTCGGGGACTGCCGCACATATTCTTCCAGGTCTCCTCCCCACCTCCCCAGCATCAATAAAGTGTCACAAATAGAATGTGCTGTGTTTTGGTGTATATCCTGTGGCCAGCCAGGCCAGGACCAATTCCCCTCCCTCCCTCCCCTCAACTCCCCAGCATAACCTGGAGAATAGGTTCAGACAAATAATTTTATATTAAAAGTCAGAGGTTAGCAGCACTGGAGCACTAAGGCTGCCCATAGTGGCCCTAGCTTGCAGGCTCCTGCTCTCGAGACCCCATGCGCCTGATGTCAGTCATCTGAAGCCGTTCCAGGGCAATCTTGACCTGTACCACAATGCCATCTTCCTTCTCTTCACCCTTCTCAGGCACTTCTGTCCTGGGGACCTGGAAGGCCCCGCTCAAGTAGCCATTTAGGGTCTGCTTGTCCAGGCTGGGATCGATGTTCATCAGGGCTTCACGTACCTTGGGTAGGGTTACCTCATCATGGCTACCGCACAAAGAAAGAGAGATAGGCCTTGATCCCTCCTTTCTGCACCCCAGACCCCAAGGTGCCCTCTGCTGAGCTTAAGCAGTATATAGTGCCCAGCAGCAAGCTCAGTACACAGGGAGATCCAAGGCCTTGAGATGCCACCCTGTGGCATAGGGACTTGCCTATGGCTAAGTGGGCCTAAGGGCCTCAGGAGGTACTCACAGTTCCAGGCCCAGCTCCTGTTTTAGTTCCTGTAAGTACTCATCCTTTTCATCCACATACTGTTCCCACAGCTTTTGTACAAAGGGCATACTCTGGCCCTCTTCATCCTGGGAGGGGCCACAAGGCTGGGTGAGAACACATTGGTTGGGGTCCAGCAGAGGCTAGGGCAGAGCTGGGCAAGTTCCTGGACAACCCCCGCCCACCACATACACATATAGAGGTGGGTACCTCTATAAATAACAAGCGGTAGTTGATCAAGTCTGCATTGCTGCTGTTGGGATGCCAGCCTCCTGCCTCCATCAACTCCAGAATTTTCTCTTCCTTCTTGAAGGGGAAGGTGCTCTTGAGGACAGTGCTGTGGGGAGACACAAGGGCCAACAGGCCTGGCTGAGGCCTTCTCACCCATCTTCCTGTACCCCTTTGCCAGCCCCACTAATGCTCAAAAAGGACACAACAAGTGCTGAGGCTGTGAGCCCTTCCTGCCAGGCTCCCCTTTCCCCTGCACATCTGGGAGCCTGGCCAGATGAAATGTTGGACAGGAGTTTGGGGTGGCTGGACCAGCCTCTCACCTTAAGTTCTCCATGGTTATCAGCCCCTCATTCTGACTGTCAGCATTTGTCATCTCCTTCAGCAGCTGTGCCACTGTCTCCTTCTGCTTGATGTATACACTCTCGCTCCTCTACAGGGAAGGAAGCATTGACTAACTTGCTGCTTCCTGGAGTGGTAGGGACAGAGCTGGCCTATGACGGGGACAAAGGGAGGGCCAGGCCCAACCTCACCTTTCCCATCAAGACTGCATAGAACTGACTCATGACCTCATTAGAGCGGAAGAGCTTGATATTTTCAAAAATGGTGTAAGCCCAGGCCATGGCTTCACCAGGTCCAAAGCGATGCTCCAGGAAACTGAAGAAGAAATCTGGGAATTTCTCTTTCTGCAGGGTGGGAAATGACTGTTTAGTAAGCCTGCCCCATGGTGGGTTGGCCCTTCTCCCTAACATCCCAATGGAACCCCCTGGAAGACTCTGGAGGCCACACCAAGCCAAAATGGCCCATGAGATCTGACCTGCTCCTCAACAAGACGTTGCTTCCAGGCATCCTTGAGGAGGTTTATGACATCCTTCTTGGTTGGCTTCTTGTTCTCCACAAGGCCATCAAATCGAAGGAAAGGAGGGATGGCTTCCCCATAGCCCTGGAAAGGAGAGTGTCAGTTCATCTCTGGGCCCAGGCAGAGCCCCAGATGGTTTCCCCAGAACCTCAAGTCTTAGCAAGGTCTGGCTGTTCTGACTCTGGCCCCAAGCCTCCCGAGCCCAGAGACCCCTACCAGACCAGGAAAGAAGTCTTTCTCCCGGAGCAGCCCCTCGCCAATCTCCTCCAGGAGCACATCCACCAGCTGGTCGCTGTTCTTGCCCTCAGCCAGCATTTGCCAGCGATCTGGGCCCCCAGCCACCACATCTGCAGGTGCAGAGAGGGAGCTGGAGTCCAAACCACATCCTTGAGCAGTCCCTGGGAGCACAGTGGCCATCATTACCTTCGCACTTGCTCCAGTCAGGCCGTGGCGTAGAGGTGCGCTGGATCTCCTGGAGCTCAGAATGAAACTGGTCCCGCTCCTTCAGTGTGGTCATATGCAATTGCAGCAGTATCTCGTGCTCCTTGCAGACCTCTTCATAGTCACCTCTCAGGCTGTCCAGCTGTGGACAAGGTGATTGATCCTTGCTACCTACCTGCGTGGCCCTGCCCTGCCCTGCCCACCCACCAGTACCTGTACCTGCTCCTGCAGTTCCTTGTTGGTCTTCTCTTGCATTTCAAAGTCCCTCCTGGGCACCACATCTCCAAAGTTGGCCTTCATGGTGTTGAGTTCCATCTGCGTGCGGGTCAGGTCTTGCCGGGCCATCTTCAGAGCCAGTGTTAACTTCACAGGGTCCTCCCCCCAGATGCCTGCCAGAGTACCCGCCAGCCTGATTCACCCTGGCTCTAGGGCCTGTAGCCCAGGGCAGGTTTAGAGTGTCCCTCAGGGCCTGGTCCTAGGTCCTTCTCTCCCTGATTGGGAACCCCTGGGTCTTTCCCACAGCACTAACAGCTTAGAACTTCAGGCCTAAATAGAGAAGCCGAGGACATGGGGTACCAGGCCTGTCCTGCTCTGAGGGAGCCTAGGCTGCCTCAGCAGACAATAATTGTTTCCTACTTAAACAATGAGTCTAAGACTCTCAGTCCAACTCAAAAGATAAATAGACCCAGGCAGCAGCAGAACATCCCCGCTTTGTGAATGGGGATGGAATGAACAGATATTAAGAGAGTTGAACGAATGGGGATGAGTGGCGAGACTCCTCTCTAGCACCTCCTCAGGGGAGAGAAACCCACCTCAGGCTTACCTGGCGACTGGGCTAGTGACCTGTCCTCCCTCTGGTACCGCAGCTCATTCAGGTCTGCAATGAGGATCTTGCGGGCATCTCGCTCGCTGAGGTAGCGCAGGTACTCCTCAGCCAAATTCTTTCTCAGTTTGGATACCTGTTGGGAAGGTTGCTGTGTGGTCGGGGCCTGTACATAGCTAGCCATCAAAGGGGATGGGATGGGTGCTGAGTGGGCCCCATCAGGGCCTGGAAACGGGAAAGGTGGAGGGAGGAGACAAGGTGGTGGCTCAGTATATCAGTCCAGGCAGAAGGGTAGAGAGTTAAGGAGACACCTTAGTGCCCAAGACCTCAGATCATCCCTAGGGTGGGGGAGCAGGAATTCAGAGAGTTGGTCACCACACTACTCCCATTCACCTCGCTCTGCAATGAGATTTTCTCCTTATTCTTTTTGTCAATGAGTTTTAGCAAATTCATCTTCTCCCTCTTCAGCATGGAGATTTCATATCTCTCCTCAGCCCTCATGGCCAGGATCCTCTCATTGCAGTCCTCATTCACAGTGACAAGCTTGGCCTTCAGGGGCTCCAGAGCCCGAATCTTCTCCCTCTGGTGGGCTAAGCAGGGACAGGTGGGAGAGTCCCTTTGGGACCACAGAGAACAAAGAGTCAGGAGACACTGATCCTAAGGTCACAGTGAGTGGCTATGTCTCTTGCAAACTCCAGGTGTCTATGCATGCTTTGTACAAAGCATCACCCCTGTTTGAGGCCTTCCTACATTTGCTTTTAAACCAGAGGTAGAGTCTGGCTGAGGACTGGGGTTTCATCTATGCCCTTTCTCCCTATAGCCTTTAGTCCTGCAGCTGTACCATGCCCAGCACCTCCCGTGCCTGGTTGGGAGGCTCATCATTTCCCAGAGGTACTCACTCCCTCCTGGGCTTCACTCTTAATAGTAAAGTTGCTTTCTTTCCTACAGATACTGCTTTACCATGTTTCCCAAGGACAGGAGGTAGTCAGGTGCTCTATCACACAGGACAGTGTAAGCAAAAAAGCTGAGCAAGGCTTGGTGACCTCAAGGCCCAGTTAGTAGTTGCCCCAATACTTCTGCACAGCCCCAGAAGGTGAGAGTAGAATCCTCTCCATGCCTTCCAGACTGGATCCAGGCACAGAAGCTGTAGTCTTACCCAGCATCACCTCATACGCATTCTTGATGGAGGATAGCAATGGCTTGTACGTTTTAAAGTCCTCTATGAAGAACTCAAAGATTTCTCTGTAAGGCTGGCAAGAAAAGGGGACCTGTCACCTCCGGGCCTATAGCTGCCACTCTCTTAAGCTTAGAAGTATTGTAGCAAGAAGCTGCCAGGTGACCCCTATTCAAATAAATGCCCCAGGGCACCACCTGGGTCTCTCAGTGCCAGGAAGGTGAAGGGCAGCTCTGTCCCTCTCAACTATTTTCTGGAGGTCTCTCCTGATACTATCTCTGAAGCCTGGCAGATGACCTGGGTCAGGGCCACCCCACGCTGGCTCTCCAGGCAGCCAGCCTTCTCCAAGCACTGTGCCTCAGTTGGCCTCTTACCTCTTGCTATCTTACAGACCTGTGGAGGCAGGAGGAGATCAAATGTTCTAGCCTTGTATTCTGACCAAACAGAAGTGTCATTTCTTGTTCCATTTGGACACAGAAGTTTTTGGAGGCAGCATTATGTACTGGAATTAGCATAGGCTCTGGAATCAGCCCTGAGTTCATATCCCAGCCCCACCACTTCATAGCTATATGCCTTCTCTGAAGTTCTGCTTCCTTGATGAAGTACCTTCAGCCTGTGAGATTGTATTCAAGGCCCCATTCAGGTCCTGGCACACAGATGATGCTCAGCAAATGCTTCTGTCAGTGACTAAGTCAGAAGTGAGGGATTCCCTGTCATCATCCCTGTCTGAGCACGAATTCGGTGATTCCCTCCTTAATATGTATTAGAATCTAATGTGCATCTAAGTTTTTCTATGTATCTGAGCTGAGTTCCTCAAGCTTGGGTCTGTCATCCC